ATCTTCTGAAGACAATTCAAGACAAGTAAAAAATTGAGACGTCACAACAGGTGATGACTCAATGATGATTCAATCCAGCTCTCTCCTCCCTGTGAGGAGGAGTCAATGCAAAACTCAGATGTCTTCCACCTCTACTTATCTGACTGCAGAGAGGATGACAGAGAACAGTGGACACACAGTTTAACATGATGGACTATAGGACAGGACTGCTGCTTTTAACTGTCTGCTGGGCAGGTGAAAATATCCACAGGTCTAAATTTTACATAGCTTTTTTTTGTGTCATCAGCTTACTTCACTTGATGTGTTTTTCTCCTCTTGACAGGTGTTGATGGTCAGACTCTGACAGAATCTGAACCAGTGGTTAAAAGGCCTGGAGAATCCCACAGATCGACCTGTAAAGCCTCTGGATTCACATTCAGTGAACAGTATTTGGTTTGGATCAGACAGGCTTCTGGAAAAGGACTGGAGTGGATTGCTCATATCTATGCTGATGGTAGCAGCAAATTCTACTCTCAGTCAGTTCAAGGCCGATTTACCATCTCCAGAGACAACAGCAGACAGCAGGTGTATCTGCAGATGAACAGTCTGAAGACTGAAGATTCTGCTGTTTATTATTGTGCTCGAGAGTCACAGTGACTGGAGTTGGTTGAGCAGCTGTACAAAAACCTACAGCACTCATCTTTCAGGCTGTTAGAGCCCAAACATGAACACATTTTTTTTAGTATTCACAACACATACATACATACATATACACTCACCTAAAGGATTATTAGGAACACCATACTAATACTGTGTTTGACCCCTTTCGCCTTCAGAACTGCCTTAATTCTACGTGGCATTGATTCAACAAGGTGCTGAAAGCATTCTTTAGAAATGTTGGCCCATATTGATAGGATAGCATCTTGCAGTTGATGGAGATTTGTGGGATGCACATCCAGGGCACGAATCTCCCGTTCCACCACATCCCAAAGATGCTCTATTGGGTTGAGATCTGGTGACTGTGGGGGCCATTTTAGTACAATGAACTCAACACAGAAGGGCCAACTCCTCAGGTCAAGACTCTGCAGTCTACTTACATCTGAAGGACAGAGGACACTCGTTTGAGGACCACCAGGTGCACATTTTAGACAGAGAAGATGGATGGTTTGAAAGAAGTGTCAAGGAAGCATCTACACCAGGGTTGAGAAGCCGTCATTGAACAGGGGAGGGGGTCTACGCCACCACTTATCCCCCACTTACAATGCTGTCCTTTCATCACTTCCCAGGAAACTCAACAAACGTAACCTATTGGCCTCAGGTGAAGATACCAACGATGGTCGTTCAGTCTTGGCCACAGGTAGTCTTAACGACTGTAACGACTGTCGTCACAGCAACAAGGAACACTAACGAACCAGCGGTATCGATGACCCGGGCCAACGACCCCACTGAGGTTAAATAGCTGAGTTTCCCTGCCAGTCAGTCAGAACTGAAGAAGTCCTTTGGATGAGGGACGAAACGTCTTCCAGTATCTTCAACCAAGTCCAGTTGCCCTTGATTTTAACCTTCGTTGGATAACTATGACCTGGATGACTGAGAATCTTCATAGACATTTTATTGAATATATTTTATTAGAAGTTAGATTAGATATTAGATTAGATATTTTTACAAAAACATTACACAAAGTCCTGTAGAGTGTTTCTGGGAAGTATTTGTACTAAACATTAAAGGAAAAAAAAAACTCATTAAAGATCACTTCTTTATAGAAGTTCCAATGACAGCAAAACAATCTGGTTGGTGAAATTAAACTGCTACAAATACTACCACTTTTATTTATTTTTTTATTTAAATTATTTGTAAATCATGTGGAATCTAAAATGAATCATAATGTGAGAGTGAAAAATAATGTTTCTTTTCTAAAATCACTAGAGGGCAGTCAGTGTCAAGTTTCTCTCTCCTCTGTTTCTAAAAGGAGACACTCAGATCTGCTGTTCTCATTGATCTTAACTGACTGACACTTGAACCCTGGACTGAACTAAAGTTTAACACTCCTGCTGCTCATGAACACTGGATACTGTGATAGTTGATACTTTTCTACTCTAAACAAAAGTCATGTTAACTTGACTTCAGTGTGAATATGAAAGTTTGACTATAAGGTGTTTACCATCATCAGTGACTGCAGCGCCATCTGTCAGTGTCAGTTCATCTCGGCAGACAGGAAGTAGATCTCAAGATGAAGAACCCTGAAGGAGCTGCTCCACTAGAGTCTGTAAATGTGTTGACAAATACGGAGTAAAAAAAAAAAAATTTTCTTCTACAACACAATTTTTGTGAAAAATCAGATTTTTTAAATAATATAAGGGGTCACTAATTTTGTTCATTCTTTCTCGTTTTTTTACATTTTTTATTTTCGCTGAAGTGCACTGGAAATGTGTCCTAGTGTGACATAACAAAATTAAGAAAGAAAGTCTTTAATAATATACAAACATGAAAGAGATTCATCTTAATTGTAAGACCCATTTTTTCATATACTGTTATTTATTGGATATGAAATTTAGAATAACACTATTTTTCCCCATGAATTGAACTTGGACTTGCACCGTTTGAATAAAAGTGAGTTAAACTTTGATGTCATCCTTTCAAAACTGTTGAAAGTTTTACAAATTTATGATGAGTGATCACTATGTCTCTCCTGCTAAAATACTGAACTGTTGTTGTTAAAGATATTATGAGATAAACACACATTTTTGGTTCTTTTATGTGTGTCACACTATAGGACAATAATGGTAGTCATTGCATTAAAGTGGACATAAATGGTTGTTGTCATGTTGAATCAAACAATATCAATTTTAACCGTATTTTAAAAAACAAAACAAAAAATTTTTCATCGACATAATCAAAGTTGACTCCTTGATAGAGCAAACCCAGTGAAATTTTGTAATTGTAATGTAATTTTGATTAAAAAAAAATCAAAATCAAATATCAATGTCACCCAAGTTGTTCAAAAACTAAATTATTTTTTTATTTTTTTTAAATTTCATTTAAATTTACTTTCTTCGTTGTTCTCTTAGGACCTACTCCTTTCTGTGTGGATCCCTGTAAATTTTCTCTCTATACTTCAGTGTCCTCTCTCTCTCCCAACCCTCATTTATTCCTATTTAAAAAGAAAAAATGAAGTTTCACATTTCACATTACTTATTTTCATGACACTTTAAACCAGTACAAATTTTCTGCAAAAACAGCTGTGTTTTTTACTGTAATTTTTGCATTTAAAAACACAAAAAAGTTATACAAAAGAATACAAAGGAGTTAAACAAATCTGAATTAATAACTTAAAATGCATTTTAAAGAGACTTTGTCCTCTTGTGTGACATCTTTGTCCTCTGACAGTTACAGGTGTGGCACCAGAGGATGAGGATGGATGTTTCAGCCTGTTTGTGCCAGTTAATGACCATGTTTTACCTAGCTAACCTGTCATTAGCAGTTAGCGGCACACGTTAGCTACATTTTCTATAATTATATACTTTAACATACAGTTTTGAATTAAAAAATATAATTTAGGCCTGTCACACAGGACAAAAAAACGTAACACTTTTATAGCGGTTTGGAAAAAACTAAATATTTGAACTATTCTGAGACCAAAACTTACCATGTGCACATCATGGGCTTCACAGGGGGCTTCAGTACCATTAAAGTGAATGGGGTTTTCAAATAAATAAGGTTGTCTGTTGAATTGGCCGATTAAATTAAGATATGGTGTCACACTACAGGACGTGGTTTTCAGTGACAAAATGTATCAAGCTCCTACGCTTTTAGAAATATATGGATAAAATACTAAATGATTGTCATTTACTAAAATAGACACTTGTAACATCATGCCTGAAGTATTTATCAACATTTTTATGCGTGTCATTTTATTTTATAAAAGTTGTAATTTCCGTAACCATGCTTGAGTCACATCAAACAACAATTTTGAGATTTGGCTCAAAAATGTAAGAAAACTAATAACAAAGCTGTTTCTACAACAACAGGTCCTTGTAAAACAAATAAAGGTTTAAGCATTTACTGCACTCTAAATCATGACAAAATAATCTTTATTCATTTTAATCTTCTGTGACAGTGAAATTGCCATGTCATGTCAACAACCAGAAACCATTAAATTTATTTTATGCAAGCAAACTTACATAACTTTCATTTTATTTACATGATCCTGCTGCTGGCACTGGTTTTGTCTTTGCAATAAGTAGGCTACAGTAGTAATTAAATGAACAAATAATAAATGTTGTAAATGTTTCAAAAAAGCTGTGCTCAGACAGTTGAAATTAATCATCAATGTGATGTAGAAGGTTCTGGTAATACATAATTTATCTCACAAAAAAGCTTAAATTATATTTAAAGTGTTTTTTAATAATTAGATAATATGGCTTATGGGAAGTGTTAATGGTAGTTGGCATTATTGCAATGCTGATTTTAAAGGATTTAATGAAGTTTTGCATAATCCTTGACTCTTGTTAATATTCACATTAAGAATAGTAATAATGATCCTAATAGTTGTTGCAATCATTTTCATAATTTTTTAAAATATTAAATTGATATCAATACAGACATTAAAAGTCAACAGTTGTTTAATTTCTGTTAATGCAGGAACATTTTCAAGATGTGTAGTGAATGAATTAAATTATCATATGTAAAGCAGAGGTGATTTCCAGGCATGTTTTCACTCTGCAGATATAATAACAGTCAACAGACTCTTCTATTGGCTCCAGTTAGACCAACATTGATGCTTCATGTGTTTGATTCTATGCAAACTCAGTGACCTTCCTTGTTACTCAGCTATAAAAACTTCCCATCAGGCTGTCAGTGGAGTTCACAGCACGTCACTTTCAACATAAACCATGTTTTCTGTAGCTCTGCTGCTGCTGTTGGCAGCTGGATGTGAGTCTCTCTGGATTTATCAAAGTCAGCAGTTCTTCTTTTGTAGTATAACTTGATCATTTCTTACTAAACATTTTCTTTTTTAACAGGTATGAAGTGTGAACAGTTGACACAGCCAGCCTCTGTGACTGTGCAGCCAGGTCAACGTCTGACCATCACCTGTCAGGTCTCTTATTCTGTTGGCAGCTACTACACAGCTTGGATCAGACAGCCTGCAGGGAAAGAACTGGAGTGGATTGGAATGGAATGTGTTGGATGTACTGCATACTACAAAGATTCACTAAAGAACAAGTTCAGTATCGACTTAGACTCTTCCAGCAACAGAGTGACTCTAAACGGACAGAATGTGCAGCCTGAAGACACTGCTGTGTATTACTGTGCCAGAAGAGACACAGTGAGAGACAATAACAGGAGAGTCATACAAAAACAACTTCTTCCATTTACCACCATCACTGGCAATATTCAGAATTATTTGTTGTTTTTTCCATAATACTGATTGTTACTGTCAGTGATGGAAAGTCTAAGTAGTGACTTATTGAATATTGAAGTTCCAACCTACACAAACAAATAAAATATTATTCTTTATTTTTAAGGACAAAAATACATTTTTGTTGTTTGTCCTTTAAAGCAATGTTTCATGCAATGCTGTATTAGTGTAGTGAAACGGTATCTTTGTAATGACATTGATTGATATCATGCATGTGATACAAAAATGTGCATTTCAGTAAAAATAAAAAAAAGTCTTCCAGATGATTTGCAGATTGAACACCAACATTTTTATGAGAACAATTTTCCTACACAAAACCCAGTCCACAATTAATTGCTCTTTGTCCGGTCCCTTATATACATGACGACAGTGGCGGTTCTACACCAATAGTATTGATGGGGCCAGGCTGGGGCCAGATGTTTTGTCAGAGGGGCACATTCAATAAGGGACAAAAGAGACAAGGAAATGTTCAAGCTTTCAAAATGTCTTGTTTAGTACATAATGTAATGTTTTAGTATGTTTCAGTAACTTACAGTTATTTGTTTCAGTAACAGGATCTTTTCAGTAACTTGGTTATAGTTTTATTACATTACATTATTAAAAAAAAAAACAACAACATTCCTGTTAACTTTAGCTGGAGTTACAGTACATTCTTTGATGCAACTCTACTTTGTAAAATTCTTTGATGCAACTCTACTTTGTAAGGCTTAATGAACAGGATAAGCTCTAGTGTACTAGACTTTCTCTGGATCCCAGTTTCTATTTTGTATCACACTAAAACTTTTGCCAGGAAACAACAAATGTCTCCATATTCACCCCTTTTATTAGTCATGATGTGAAGTATACACAAAATTAAATACATGATGGTAGGCCATCATCTGTGCAATATGGACGGGCATACATATTTTGGCAGACTGCATGTCCATCCTGGTAGGACCAGTAGGCTGCTGTTGTTGCTTTTTGTGTATGAAAAGTGCTGTTTAAATGCAATGCATTATTAAATTGTTATGATAATAATTTACCCAAAGGCGTCACTTTGTGTTGAAAAGTGGTGGGGACATAAGGGCCCAGATTAGGGGTGCAAAGAGACACATCACGATATGCAATACTGGGTTCACAATAACGAGACAAAAAGATCCTTAAACAGTGTTAAAGAGATCCTCAATGCTGAGTTAGCCTATATAAGATGGGGGTCTAGGGGGATCTAACCCAGGAGATTTTAATTCCTGCATTCTGGTGAAAGTTCCTTCACCAATTTATGATGAACCAATTTTTTATTTGTGTAAAAGGAAACACAAAATTCAGGTGGCACGTTACATTTCAAAATATAAAACTATAACAGAATCTAAGTCAGTGCAGCTTTCAGGCGTTCTGTGTTGCTTTCAGATCTGCTTCTTTTTCTTAATGTGCAAGTAAATTTCTAAAAGCATTCTCATTTGTTATTTACTGTAAGCTATATTTCAGAACGCTTTTTTTAACAAATTATCCTTTAAAAAAGTGGTGGGGACATGTCCCCAGTGTCCCGAGTGTAAATGACACCTATGAATTTACCCTTTAGGGAGGGGGACTCTCAGGGGCGCTGCATTCAGTTTAATGTGCATTTTGAGTCAAATAGATGTAACGTTGAGGAGAGCAATGTGTTAAACTGATTACGCTGATGTTGATTTTACAGTATCGATGGCGTAGATATTTGTAGGAGTAGCTTACTTGAAAAATGGGACAGACTCTCTAGATCTAGCTTCCAAACAGTAACATGGATGACTACGTGGTCAGTTATAACATCATAAGACTATCGCAAAGTAAATGTTTGATTTACAGGGAAACTATATGCTTGTTTAGACATTCTCAATTCAGTGCAATGAATAATATGAAGTTCAATAACACGTAACGTTAACGTTAGCCTATAAAAGCGTTCTTATAATGCGTGTGCTAGCTTGCTCTGCAAAAACCTCGTTGATAAAACAATACTAATATGATGGATGAAACACTTCACGTTATATTTTTCATTTACTTTCGTGAAGTAGAAAGTTCGCCTTCAACTTTGAATGCACGTGCGCTCCAGCGGCAGGGAGAACACTTTCTAACAGGAACTACCTTTACACGACGCTGGACAGTGGCGGTGTAACGTCCTAAGGATCCCACTAGTTGAGACACTTTTGTTCTGCCATTCGCATCAGTGCCATATCATCGCAAGGAAGATATATATATTTCTATGATTATTGTAGACTTTTTGTTCAGAGGGGGGCCATAGGGGGTCCAAGGTCTGTGTTACAGAGGCACTGGCACCCTGTTGCCCCCCCCGAAACCGCCTCTCAGCATGTTACCAGTATGTATTGCTCTGTATCAGAAGATACGGAAAATGTAATAACAAAGTCCAATTAGCAAAACCAGAAGGACCTCAGCAGCTTCGCAGTCCACAGTTGTCCATACTGTGACAAAGGGGGATGAGTTGAGCAGTTTGATGACCATACACAGGAATAAGCTCCCGTGCAGCTCAGTGAAACACTTGGTGTGAGTGGCATGAGTCTTTAGTTGAAGACACTTCTCTTGTTTTTTATGTAAATATTCAGCACAATTCCAAGCACCTACCAATTGTGACACACAGTTCATCTTTCCCTAATAGCTTGTTAGTGTCCTTCTCTACACAAAGTGAACTTCCTCACAGTCTGCTATAAAGACTTGATATCATGCTGTCAGTTGCAGCAGAAGAAGAGAAGCACCCATCAGATCACCTTCAATACCAACCATGTTCTCTGTAGCTCTGCTGCTGCTGGATCCTGTGAGTCTCACTGAGGCAGAGACACTGACAGTATGATCACAGCACACTGACTGTTCATGAAGCCACCAGAGGAGGAACCCTCAGACCACTAATGACTTCAGCACCAGCTCACTGTTACAGAGAGAAACAGACATATTTAGCAATGAAAAGGTAAAAGGAACATAAAATGTTTTGTGTACATTATAATAATATTAAATATACAGTGGAGGCATTTTCCAAAACAAATCTTCTCTGTCTGGCTGTCATTACTACTAATTAACAATAATATAATTTTTCTTGTGTAAGATTTTTCTCCATTGTAATATGAATATCACTTTGTGGACCTGCAGTCAGATCAAGATGGGTAAAAAGAAAACATAATGTCACATTTTTTTGCAAAGTCAAGATTTTGTCTCATAATAGTTGGTGAGTATGTTTAATATTGTTGTTTGTTGGAGGATCACTTGAGAAAACACAAAATTCCACTTTTGAGGGAAATTCCTATTAAGCAAGGTTTAAATTTAGAGTTAATGCAAAACCTAGCTGTTTTCCACCTTCACTAATGTGACTGCAGGGAGGATGGAAAAGTTGTAATTTTCACTGAAGCTTTTGTTTTACATAATATGACAAAGTTCATGTGTCTGACTGGGAAATGTCTTGTAATATAATGAAAAGTTTTCTTGCTGGGGTATTCACTGATATATTTATGTTGTTGGTGTATCCGTCTGTTTTTAACCCACTGTCTCTCTCAGAGCCCTGCACTCCTCCTTTCCTAACAGATTTTAGTCTTTTTGTATCAACACTGTATCTCCAAAATCTCCGACTGATGTCCTGAAAATGATTTTACTTATGAACACTTTGTGAGAAAGTCTTCACATTCTTCACATGTTGTTGACTGTGCATAATAAACAACTTAAAAATGTGTTTATCAGTGTATTGTACAAATAAATACTGAAACATGAAACTCTTGTAGGAACCAGTCATACAGTAAACATTGATTCTGCAATTTCACCAAATAGTAACTGAGATCCAAGTCAAATTCAGTTCCTCCCTGTGAGGAGGAGTCAGTGCAAAACTCAGATGTCTTCCACTTTGCACACACCTTGCACTCAATAAAAATAAACATATCAAACATTAAAATGTTGGGTATCATGAACACATCTCTCTATTGTTAATACAAACTCCCATGATGTCTCTACTTTCTCACTGCTAATCCAAAATCCATGGTTATGTAAGAAAACATCTAGACAATATGGTCTAAAGTGTATCTTTTTTATTTAGCAAACTGTAGAATCCAAAATGACACTACTTTGACCAAGTGCATTGCAAGTGCCACAATCAGGACTATAAGAAGTTAACATCTTCTCCACAAAACAGCATAATTTCAACAGTTCTGCAATTACTTTTCTTACACTACTTTTGTAGTTTACAATTTTGGTTTTATGTTTTAAGGACAACAGTAGTTTCAGTTTTTCTCTATTTACATTTAGCAGGATTTTCTGGATGAACTCAAAATTATAAATCAAACCTTTTGAGTACTCAGGCTGGAGGACATACAGCCATACAAATGCAGTACTACATCAGGCTAACAATCAGTCTAGTGAAAGACAAGCTGATCCTGGAGGAAGACCTTGATTTCACAGAGATGGAATGGCACCATCTTTACCGTCAGCAGTGACTTGCGCTGTGGTAGGACCTTGGTCTGCACCCTCCTGGTAAATATGCCCAAAAATGTACAAATACAACTTTGATTAAATCACTCACACACACACACACACACACACACACACACACACACACACACACACACACACACACACACACACACACACACACACACACACACACACACACACACACACACACACACCTCAGTACCAGAAATGGCTATATTATTTAGCGTTACCAAAAAGTGTAAATATCTAAACATCAGAGCCATTTCAGCATACATGTTTTTAAGTTAGGTGGGAGCCAATTAGAGCACCCAGAGGAAACAAACATGAAGATGGGAAGAACATCTGCAAACTCCTCATAGAAGACCAGAGGTAGTTGACCAGGACCATCACAATCCAATTTAGATGACACTACAGTATCACTCAATCATGAGTGAATTCCATGACTAATCTACATGAGAAGTCAGTCTGATGTAACATTGTTTACTCTGATTTGGTTCTTAGACACAGAGTGTGTTGTTAGAGATTGACAAGCAGGCTCTGCATGCACAGCGAACCACTAATCAAAATATTGTTCTTGATCAGTTTATCAAACAACCAAAGCAGGCAGCGTTGAAATGTTGGTTTTGATAAATATTTCATTAAATGCTTAACCTACTATTGCTTGACCATGTTAAGTGTACATCAGCCCACCTTGCAGGTGTAGAACTGCTCTGTGTCGTCTTCTTGCGGCAGCGCTGGTAGACATCTGAGACATACAGTCTGCTCCACATTGATGTCTTGCGTTTGCTGTAGTGAAACATAAGAAAAAAGGCTAAAATACCAACAATATATATTTACACTTTGCTGCAGACTGTGCTCATTGTTTTTCTCTATATTATAGGGATGTCCCAAATATACTGTATACTTTTGTCCGAGCAAGAGTTCTTTGCAAATGCAAGTCCAATCCAATACTTTTTTATTCAAATTTTAAATAAATATATACCTGGCACACTGATATAATGCAGCTTTAACCTAATACATTCAACAGACTTTATTTTACACAAGCATCTATACATCCCAAAACTGAAGATCCGTTCAGTAATTTAAGATATGAATGAATATTTATCATGAAAAAATGTGACTCTTGACTTTGAAATCAAGAAATATCAATCTGCTGAAGCTACTAGTTGAGTGTTCGGTATCCTGCTCTTTGCTAGAAAAAAAAGAGGAAGAAAAGAACAGGGAGACAACAGGTCTGTTGACAGTTAGTTACTATCCATGTTTTGTCAACACCAGGTGTCGGTCACTTGCACCAATGTGTCGAAATAATTTTTCACATTCACACAATCTTAATTTTCACTCGCATTTACAAGCAAAATTGTTGCACTGTAAGCTGTTATAAAGTGGAGTAGCACTGTAACGCTAGCAGGCTGAGGTGGATAAAAACTAACATGAGTACAGTAAGAAAAGGTCAGATTTTTTGGGTTATTTCTGTCTATTCTGATTAAAATCTGCTCGAATGTGCCCCAGTACTGATCCTCAGGATCTGCTCAGGACATAAAATTTACCTGAGAATGCTTTTACAGTGGAGAAGAGATCTTCTGGGCACCAGTCCAATTCTCCTGGCATCTCTCTGGCCACAACTAGCAAAAACACATTATGAAAAGTATAACAATTAACAATAAAATCAACCTAATTACATAGCTCTAAATATGTGCACTTTAAGTTACCTGGAAAGGAGCTGGCCATCTTTTCTGAAAATGCAGCACAGAATGTTACTAATGTGCATTTTGAACCTCATCAGTTTCTGAGTGGAAACTCTACATAAGATCAGCCTTTATTTGTCTCACAGGTGTCTCACATACAGTCGTTGCAAGAGAGAGAACAATTCCCCACTCATCCTACCTTACCTATGAAATGAAGTTAAAAACACTCAAACACTCACTGGAAACAAATCTAAAATTTCAGATAAATAAATCATATCCCTGACATCAACAAGAGTGAAGTTTGGAAAGAATGATAAAGTCAGTCTCTATCAGTCTCTCCTTCTCCTGCTGCTGCTGCTGGTAGACAGGAGCTGGTTCAGCCAGCAGCTGAGTTTATATGTGCAATATTTTAATGTACGGGGTAAACTAAGCTAAACTAAGCTAAAGTTACTAAAGACAGAAATCCTTAACTTCAGCTTGTTTGTAACAATTAGCTATTAGCCGAATCAGCGCTGTGCTTGTGTAAAACTACAACACAGCTGTGGTGGATGAGAAACTGAGCAGATTAAAATATCGGGCTCTACATGTTTATGCTAAACAGGTGTATTGATAAATGTTTTAATAACCTTCCAAACTGTCGCGATTTTATTTTTGTGTTGCTTTCTCTGTGCTGGAGTTATTTTAATAAACTTGATGGTTTTATCCAGTTTGTAATTAAATTTTTGACAAACTTCATATTATAATATATGAATAATATTATATTCCACTCAAATCTGATGTTCATTAATAAATTTTGCTCATGGATAGTGGTTAGTAAATAATGATGCGTCTGCATCACTTTGTAAATACATTAATGTTTGTAAATTATGTGGAATCTAAAGGGAGTCATAATATGAGAGTGACAAACAATGTTGCAGATTCTTTCACAAAATCAGTAGAAGGCAGTCAGTGTCAAGTTTCTAAAAGGAGACACTCAGATCTGCTGTTCTCATTGATCTTAACTGACACTTGAACTCTGGACTGAACTAAAGTTTAACATGTACACTGGATACTGTGATAGTTGATACTTTTCTACCCTAAACAAAAGTCATGTGTTAACTTGATTCAGCACATTTTGAACTGAAAAGTATGGCAGCATATTTATTGTTGTATAAAAAAAATTTTTATACAACAAACAACATCCCGACAACAATTAACCACATAGCATGATATCTGATTAAGACAGTTTTATTTCTGACATAATCAGACACAGATAAATGTAAAATGTAGTTATAATCACAGAAAGTAACATATAAATGTGTGAACTACTTTAGGTTTTTCTAATATAAAAAAAATGTTTTTTGCATTTAGTCACACAGGTTTCAGTTCCTGAGCAGCTGTTTTCCTCCTGAAACGATGTCTTTGACATCTGCAAACGCTGAAATTATTCATCTTCGTCTTTTATGCAAACCTTCAAACCAGCAGCATCAAACTTAAGTTTTTATACCATCTACATGATCCCGGCTGCTGTCACTGTATTTGTATTTGCAACAATATTATTTTAATGAATATGTTTTCCATTATCCATGATTCATGTTAATATTTCCATTAAGAATAGTTATAATGAAATAATGTACAATGAAATTAAAACATCATATGTAAAGCAGAGGTGATTTCCAGGCATGTTTTCACTCTGCAGATATAATAACAGTCAACAGACTCTTCTATTGGCTCCAGTTAGACCAACATTGATGCTTCATGTGTTTGATTCTATGCAAACTCAATGACCTTCCTTGTTACTCAGCTATAAAAACTTCCCATCAGGCTGTCAGTGGAGTTCACAGCACGTCACTTTCAACATAAACCATGTTTTCTGTAGCTCTGCTGCTGCTGTTGGCAGCTGGATGTGAGTCTCTCAGGATTTGTCACACACAGTGACTTCAGACTCGACTTGAGACTCGTCCTCAAAAGACTTCAGACTCGACTCGGACTCCAGGGTTGGGACTCGTGAACAATGTTTATTTTTAGTAAACGTCTGATGAGCTCTCCGTTATTCCCTCCCTCCATTACCTATAACCTGCCTACGTAACACGTATCATCTGCTGCCCGCGGCTGCACGTGAGAGAGGACAACAAACACCGGCAGCTACTCCGCCATTCATCATAAACTTTGGCTTTAAAACTTCATAATACAAGACCCAAACAAAGAAGCGCTGAACGCAAATAGGTTAGTAACCTGTGCTGAGTAAACATGTTTAGCTCAGCATTGGCCATCTAACGTTAGCTTGCTTCTTGCTTAAGCTACGACCTACGGGAGGTTTACTCCGACTGTCATTCTTTATGAAAAGATGAATGAGCGTTTGTTTACTTGCCAAACTTGTGGTGGTCGATAAACGTAATTATTTACGTCCTGCTGGCTGCCACCACCTTAATTATTGCCGAAAGAGGTTACAGGTTTCTTGTTGACCTTGTAACTTTACAGTTTTATTTAGTTATAACTTACACTGGGTTTGAGAGTCAACAGGGTTTGTTGACTTACAGTAGTTTATAAGCTTATAATAAGTCATTAATTGTTGACACATTGTACATTAGGCTACATGGTTGTGCTCTGTAAAGTTAAAAAACAGGTTACCGGTTTATTGTTTATGCAATGTCACAGTTTTATTAAGTCAACGTTACACTGGGTTTAAGAGTCTAGGGAGTGTGTTGACTTACAGTATTTAAGAAGCTGTCAATAATTGCATTGCACATTACATGGTTGTGTTCTGTAAATGGTTACAGGTTACAGTTACAGAATTCCATATAGCCATGCAGTTTTAGTAGCAACCTGGATTGAACGCAGCAGGTGATACAGCATTCGTAATAACCACGAGAGACTTGAGACTTGACTTGGACTCTAGCTCAAAGACTTGTGAGCATCTCTGATAGAGAACACTCAGGATCTCTCTGTAGGCATTGTGTTCCAGTGTGGCTAGAGAGCAGGTATGTCTTGCAGAAGTTATGAGTCAAGGCTGACAATGTTTTTAACTTTTGTGAACATGTTTTAATTTGTTTTAATCACAGGTATTTTAAGCCACCTGTCGTCCAGACCTCGTCAGCTGAATAGCCTGTTGTGCTAAAGTTCACCACAGAGAAGGCAGTGGTGGTTGTTGATAACCCTGAGGTAAAAAGATATTGTCTAGTAGAGCTATGCAAGTTTACTAGTTTGTGTGCCTTTTGATAACATGATTTACTTTGCAGTGGGCCTAAACGTCTGATCTGTAAACGAGGTGGAGTCAGAGCTGGGTTGACTATTTACTGCATTGTTTGAGGTAAAGATCATCTGTCAGGTATTTAGCA